AATGCAGTGAAGAGGACTGCACAAAAGACCCTGGGTCATTTTGTGCTGGCAGTCTACTGTGTACACACTGAACCTGTGCATGTTTGAGTTCCATGTAGAAACTGCATGCTCACCAGTGACTGTGGGCATTTGTGCACATTTGTGCTGTAAAACCATAGGAGGGTTAAGTTAGTGAAAGGAGGAAGGCTCATTCACGGCAAGTTTGTGTCGCACTCGGTGTTCTTGATACACAGCACTGATTGAGGAGATGGGTGATTGGATATATGACGATGTCAGCCGGCCCTCCCATCACTTGGTCCGCTTCATGGCCCATGTCGTCCTCTTCCTGCGCGCCCTAGGCCTCCAGACCAAAGATGCCATCTGCGTGGCCATCATTGAGGCCTACGTCAAGGTAGGATTGGCCCCCCCATGTGAGATGGTCCATGCCATTCTCTGACTTTAATAGGATTTTTTTTTGGGGGGGGGAGATTACACCCAAGTGGAGTTTGGTTGTTCTTACTCTCGTCGACTCATTTGTGCCAAAACCGAATAGTTGTTGGGTCGGCATTATTGTTTTTTAATCGGTCATTTCAGGATTTGATCACCGAGAAGCACACCAAGCTGGTGGCTATGTACACAGCTCAGCTACCCTACGACATGCAGGTGTCTTGGTATGCCAGGTTCTTAGAGGGTGAGTCCTTTCTTTTACAGGCAACCCAGAGATCATTCCAGTTTCAGTGCTTGATTTCTCCTGGCTTTTCTTCAGTTTGATTATTGTCTTAACATGTTTTGTGTGGATCTGTGATCAGATTACGGGGAAGTGGTTTAGATTTCTAACCACTTCATCAAACTTGAAACCTTAAAAACGATGACAAGATTTATCTGTGCCGCAGAGATGAGCCCTTTTTCTGCTGTGACCTAAGTTTTATGCAGGGCCGTACTTGTAAATGGAAATTAGAATGCACAAGTTTCAACTTTTTTCCCCCTCACCGTATCCCTCCCGCTTGTCCAATTTGATTACCAGGTATCCACGACAAGGAGGAAAGGCAGCATTGTCTACACTTAGCTGAAGAGGCTGGTAAGTTGACTAGAAATCTAAAAGACAAATCAATACTGGGAACTGCTCGCTGGCTACAGTGACGGTGACCAAAAATGTATTTATTGGAAAAGGAAGAGGGCCTGACTGTTGATCCGAGCAGACGCTTTCTCAAATGCAGGAGAAAGATGCCCAGGAGATAGACGGGACACTTTGGCAGGTTTCTATTTCCATAGGGTATTTCGTGTCTGGATATCCATCATGTTTTCCAGAGAGGCCCACAGTTTCTTGTTTGAAATTTAATTCGGGATGCCCTGTCTGTTTGTGATTTCATCATTACAGGACTTGATGTTGCTCAGATAACCAAGACAGTCGTCGAGAATATCCGCACCAGGGACGAGAGTGAGTTCACGGCTCACACGCAGCGTTCGTCCTTACTGGAGGCAGCCACCTCAGCAGTACGTAGCCGATAGTATACTGAAAATGAAGACCGATGCAGAATTAAACATACAGATTTTTTTTGGGGGGGGCCATATTTGTTATAATGCCGTTCTGTTGTATTCGGATCTGGTAATAGCAACATTTTGTCCAATGTCTTCAAATGTTCCCTGTGATACAAGTTCAAGCGTCAGTCTTCTGATTGGCTGACCATCACTTTGTTCTGTAACCATGTAGGAGGATCGTCGTAAGATCGAGGCCACTGATTGGTTGGTGTTTGATCCATCACAGCGAGCCGAGGCAGTCAAACAAAGCAACGCCATCATCAGGACATTCCTTGGTGAGACACAACTTGCCCCCAGAATCCTAAGTGTTTCTCCGTCTCATATCGTCAAGCCTGCTTGTAAACCACACTCTCAACCTTAATATTGTACATCTCTTTAAAAGCTATCTTGAAGCATCCCCTTGCATCTTAAGTTTTCCTGAATTTGTCTTCCAGCCTTGGCGAACAGAAAAACTCTCGATAGCTTTGTGTCCCTTAGTATTGTGTTTTGAAGACCTTTTTTCAGAGAGCTTTTTGGATAAGGGGTTGTTTAAGTTGAATGCAATTGGCTCATTCCACATGGGTAACGTTCTGTACATTTTGATTCAGAATTGAGGAGACACCACAAAATTGTGGCTTTCATATTGAATGGCTGTGTAGTTTTTGCAGAGTTCCAAGTGCTTAGTTTGAATTGGGACTTGCATCCAGCACCAGCATTTATGCTAAGTGCAGAATAAGTGGTATCAGTTTCCGGTGTAAACCCCAAACAGTCTTGTAGGCAAGGCTACTAGAAGTCCTGTCACAAGTCCAGCCATAAGTCTTTTCATTTAGACCAGTCGTTAAAAAGAGGGTAAGCAGATACAAAGGAATACTTTTGTGTGAGCTCATTGTGAGTGGACTGTGACTTGCCTTGTGACATCATGGCTTGTGATGATGGCCTTGTCAAGGACTCCAGATGGACTCGACTGTAACATCGGCTTTGATAAACCACACCAAATGTTTGCACGTACTGTTCTTTTCCTATTCACATACCAACAAAGTTTCCCTGACAATTTTTCTTGCAGCCACCAAGAAGCACGACGCAGCCAAAGAAGTCTTCCACAAGATCCCAGCCGACTCCATCGATCTGATCTGCCGGAACTGGCAAGCTCAGGCCGGCCGGGAGAGACTTCCCGCCGAGGATGAGAACGCCGTCAATGAGTACCTCTGCCTCAAAGCTTACCTAGTAAGTTTAGGAGGAATGGTCATCAGTTTGCTTTTCTTTATACAGGTTTTTTCTTTCATCAGAGAAGGCATAATCATCCCAATCATAATGTAGCAATTTTTGTAAGTCATATCTCTCTTCTCACCTTTTCTCACAGGATGCCCTGGACTCTTTCAATGACTGGTTCGAACACTACCACAACAAGCAACCGACGAAGCCCTCGGCGCCAGACAACGGCAATTTCCACGAGATGGTGCGCTTTGAGCACGAGCAGAAGGAGTATGAGGTATGGTCGACCCAGAGACCCATTCAATAACAGCTACCCTTCATTAATTTTCTTCGACATCCACGTGTAGAGCCCATCGCAAGACCGGTCCCATGTCACAGGGTGAACAATGACAAAGGAATGCTTTCGTTGCAGTTCATTTGAATGGCATGTGATTTGGCTTAGATTCGAGGCTGATTCATTTTGAAGAATTGAATTCAAATATTAAACTATTCGATCTTCGGTTGACTCAAATATTTGGTTGTACCAAATTCCCACAAAAGCAGAAACAAAAACGTGCATTTTTTATCGACAAAAAGTGAATAAGAGAAAATGTTGACAGGCCAAATAATTGTTGACCTTGACGTTAGGCACACACAGTCAGGTGCCCTGAAGTTTACTCATAACACCTTCAAAATCCAATTTTGTAACCAAATCATTGAATTTGTCTCTTTTGTTTCACTGAGTTTCTTCTCCGAATATTCAATTTTAAAAGTAAACATTTGTATATTTGACAGTTGATCAAATATGACTGCTAAGACTGGATTATATGTAACAGACTTGTAAAGGACTGGCAGGGATATGCAGTGGACTCGACTACAGCACTTTAATGATGGGCCGAAGACCCCAGGGTTACAGCTCTCTACTTTTTTTTCTCTCAGTACCAATAGCTTAACAGTTCCACATTGTGACCAGAATCATTATGTTTTCTCTCCCGAAGCTTGAGCTGGAGAGGTGGCGACAAGCACTTGGAAGTCAGAGCATGGGTGTAAAGGAGTACATCTACAATGTGCTGCTGTTTGTTGATGGATGGATGGTTGACAAGAGAATGGTACGAACAGTTCACACTCAAAATGGTTTCATTCCCCAAATATCTCTAAAGTTGCATCAGAAGGACTAAAGAGAATTCTTCTACTTTTCTGTCTACTACCTAGATAGTTTGACAGGGTCTCACTGTAATTGGGTAGGGTTGGGTTTGGTTGGGTTTGAGATGGATTGGGTTACGTTGGGGTAGGTTGGGTTTGAGTTTGGTAGGGTTGGGGTTGGGTTTTATTTAGGTTGGGTTGGGTAGGGTTGGGTTTGAGTTGGGTTGGGTTACGTTGGGGTAGGTTGGGTTTGGGTTGGGTTGGGCTGGTCTGGTCTTGGTTGGGTTGGCTTAGTTTAGTTAAGCTGGGCTGGGCTGGTCTTGGGTTGGATTGGTTTAGTTAAGGTGGGTTGGGTTGGGCTTGGTTGAGTCGGGTAAAGTTGGATTGGGGTGAGGCAGGATTGGGTGGGGTGTATGGTGGGGTCAGGTTGTGCTGAGTCCGGTTGGAGTTCCAGAGTGACAACTTAGGGCTTTCCCCAATTCACTAGCTAGAGTTAGAGTGAGTAAGTGTCTCGACTTTTTTGACAGGATGGCAAGGTTGACGAGACACGCCTGGAGCAGATGAATGGCCTTCGGGAGCTGTGCTTGCCCATGCTATGTGTATTGCTTCACACAGTGCTCCACACCACAGAACAGTACAAGGAGTGTCTGGCCCTCGCTGATGTCCTAGCCTCCGAGGATAACCAGCTGTACAAGGTAAGCTTTTGCATCGTCAGTGGAAAGTCGGTTTAGATAATTCGCATGAGGGGGAGTTTCTCGTTCTTCGTTCTGGAGTTGGTCTTTGCCACCCTTCTGATCTGTTGATCAGATCAAATTTTCCTGAAATTTGACAACTGCGGGAGATTCCAAGAAGAACAGGTGGGAAGGAAGGATTGGACATCACTGGACTGTAGGGGGCACTGTTCATGGTAGCCTGCAGCCCTCGCAATGTGACATGATTCTTCTAGCAAGGATGGTGATTTATGTCAAACAGCGTACCACAGTCGAGAGTTGTACTAAAACCTCATTAACCCACTTTGATTGATAATCCAACTTTGATTTGTAGTCGGAGTTGGTCCGAGACAAATGACCTCTGACCCTTTCTCGCTGCAGGTGTTCAGACGGCCAGAGCTGCAGCAGTTCCTGTCCAAGCTGAGCGAGTCGTCGCTGCAGCTGCTGAACCAGAACCTGGACCCGCTGGGCTACGAACTTGTGTCCTGAGAGCATTTCGTGCCGTACAACACAGAGAATACGGTGGGGGGTAATGAAGCATCACCGTTCCGTTATCATCGGAATTCCCACAAGTCATTGAAAATCCTGGGGGAAAGGTTGCCCTGGAAATTTGTGGAGAGTCTTGGAAAATTGGGGGAAAAATAGGGTGTCCTTGACTCCTATCGTCAGAGGGAAAAAAAGCCACGGAAAAATCACAGACATCAAGATCCTGCAAGGGTTATTTTTTATTAAACCCTTTTGATTATGGATATGGTAACATAATAATGATAAATTTGCAGGCTATGTAAGAGGTTGCTTTGGCATACTTCCGGCTCATAATATCAAACAATTTTTTCTCCGCGAAATGGGCATGAAATGTCTTGGAAATTGTTATATTTAAAGTCCCGGAGGTGTCGTTGATTTTTTTTTCAGATTTCCGGCGGAACCCTTTATCATGCAAGTGACACGGTCATGAATTGATCTTGAAGTAGTCTGTCTCCCCAATGATTTTGAAAATCTAGTCTGTCTCCCCAAAGATTTTGAAAATCTAGTCTGTCTCCCCAATGATTTTGAAAATCTAGTCTGTCTCCCCAATGATTTTGAAAATCTGAATTTGACAATGAGCTCTCAAGCCTGAGGCTGGCCCCTTAACAAACCTGGCGTATTGGAAATGTATGGGAACTGTTGAACAGTTTTGGGTAGCCGGTTGGGGTGAGCGTGACCCTAGTGTTTCAAGCCTTTGTGAAAGCCTCTTGGTCTTTTGTCTAGTCTTGGGTTCAAGACGTTAGTGCTTGATAGCGGACACCGTACATAGCGCCCCCTAACGACTGAAGGCGGACAGAGTACACTGTTCGAAACGTCGAGTTATTCCCCTATTTTTCTCAGAACCACACATACTCAAGAAAGAGATTTATCCATGATGTAACTGCAATCGCTTTACTTGTATAGATCATGGACCTCTTGGGCTAAGACTACCTTTCGTCCGACAGCTAAATCAATTCAGAAACACGTTTCTGCCAAAGGGACTTGTCCGTATGTGTGGGTTATATTGTACAGACTTTTGTTCTGGCCCTTTTAATAAGAAAAGTGCTGGAAAATTTGTCAGAAATAAAGAAACATTTGTTACAAGCACTTTGACATATGGTAGATAACGCTCGGTGTTTTCCCATTGGTACTTTTAGTATTGTGCAAATTTAAAAGTGACTCAGATCTACACGTCGTGTGCACTTAAAGAAAAGACAGAATTGGTAAAGGAGGGAAAGGATTTTTCTCGAGTTACGGACAGTGGCCCAAGTTCCTGGCACCAAAAACACTCAACCCTTGGATTTATTAGAGAAAAGCCTCATTGTTCCCAGTAAAGGGATTGGGGGAATGATAAATGCTACCATTTGACTGATTAATTTTAGTTATAAAGAATTCACCAATCACTTTGTGTACACATTTGGGTTATCGCCCAGCTTAACCTGTTTTGACTGATAACTGACCGAATTGGCGCCAACGCAAATGTAGAAGGGGGTCGAATTCGAAGTTGGAGGACAAATTCCGTACGGAAGTCAAGAATTTCATCGTGACTGTAATCTCACCAGCCGAACTTGTATCATATTTCACCGTGGCCAGTATCCAGTAGCGAACCTTTTATCATCCCAAAGCTGTGACCCTTGACAGTCGACAATAATTAAGGGTTAAAATGAACTGTGTTATCGGTAAATGAAGAGCTTTAAGTGGGAAAAAATTCAACGTAGCCAGCATCAAAAGGCGTGCCGCATGAGCTGTTTTTGTTTTCCCCCGGTCCCCGAGTTAAACCTGCGCATCACGTGGAACACTTCCAAAACTCTGCTGTCCCTTTTCCCATGCGGCTAACCAATATTATCATGTCACATGTATTCCCATAGGGAATTCTGTTAACCTCGTAACTGTCCCCATGCCAAAGCCGATCGACTCGAGTTCCCAGTGCGAACACTGTCAGACCGCCAGCTGGAGTCCTGTTTCGTGAACTGAAAAAAAAATTCCCGACGAGACTTCTGGTAGCCTTGCGCTGCTGTTTTTTTTTTTTTTCTGATCGCTCAACTCCCTGAGTTTGGCCTCTTGCTACAGCTTTGGGTTTCGCTTCAAAGGGGGTGAAAATGTGCCATTTTTGTCACCTATATTTAGGAATAACCAAATTTGTTTAAAAAAATTACAGCCTGAGTGCCCGCTAAACCCCATCTCTTTTTATTTTCAATCCCTCATTGGCAAGGTCATCGTTACCAACTACATGTATTTCTATTAAAATGAATTGAAATATATCAACAGTTTCTTTCATGTTCTCTTCTGTACTTTTTCACAATTGAGGGGGTGTGCCCGAAAGAAAGACTGTTGACTCGTAGGGTGTCCTGATCAATGCAGTTCCACCCGTTTTCTTCACCGAGCGAAGTAACGAGCGAAGTATAAGCTTACTGCGTAAGTAGCTGATAAGATAACTATATACTGAGATATGTCTGCAAGTTGCCGCGATTCTTGATCGCTGAGGATGACGTCGCGAACTCCCAGCCCCAGTTTCTACCCGATACTGCCGTGCCGTCAGGGTCGGTTTATTTACCCAGCGTGTCCCGTCGGGGCTGAGCCAGCCGCACGTTCCCACTAGTCTTTGTGCCCAGATGACAGATCCTGACGTGTGCACACTAAAGCAGGACTTGGTGTGCCCCACAGATCCGCCAAAACCAACCCTCATCAATCACATGTAAGAACAAGGAAACGAGTTGCTCCTACCATGCTTCAACCATTCCGCCCGAAAAAAGTAACCGTAGAAACGGCCACGCGTTTCATGTCTTTTTTTTCTGACATTCTTCCTGTTTGTGCTCGACCCCTGAGCCCCGATGTAAAACAGTGTGTGCTTCCGTCATTAGATTTTTGTGTTTTTGAAATATTACACATTAAACCATGGAAAATTTCATTCAATTTTTTACCCCTGGAGTGCAACTGATTGATTGCACGTGAAAAATACCCGCCTCCTGTTTATTTATTCTCTTTGTTTTTATCAACCTCGGGATAATTGCCACAAAATACAAGGCAGCGTGTGTGAACCAGGATGCCAACGTCCCCAAGGCTGAAAGCTGGCACCGCGTGTGCTGTAAAAAGAAAATCAGTGACCCTGGTTATTTGATATTTTTGCCTTGTACCTGTGATCGCACTTTGCCAAGGGGGAAATCCGATCATGTTGACGGCCGAGCATAACCTTGGCGGCTGACCTCAAAGATTATTCCGCTCGAGATGTCTCCCAGTGCCTGATGCCCGTGATGTGCTGAGATTGGCCGTGCTGGATTTTAACCATTGCTCGCGGTACCCGCATCGCACGCGAGCTCTACTCGGTCTTCACTTCAATAAGTAGGCCTACTGTAGCTGGTGAATGTTTGAAAGCATGCGTTTACGGACACTCTTTTTTTATACCCAGCAAGAAATG